GAATGCCACAAATTCTACATGGATCCATGATCATCAAATTCACCCTACGTTTCTACAGTACACTTTCAGATAGATGTTTATGGGTAATTCATACAATTTTAGTGCTCATTCTTTAGAAATTGAGCGGAACATTTTAACAATTGTGTTGCTAAATTTTAAATAAAATATGGATCATAGTTACATTTTTTATCGATCATTATCACTTTTCAAGGGATTTTCACCGGGGTTTCAAAGGATCATTTGGGAGTGTTTTAAGGAATAACTTTCATTTTTTATGATTCGTTTCATCAATTCTAAAGGTACATACTTAAGGCAGTCGTACAATGCAATTACAATAGAGTTATTTGTCACCAAAAGAATGTATTTTATTTTTTTATTATTGTTTTATTGTAGTTTTATGGTTATTTTTATTTGGATATCTGAAAAAAAGTTAGCTGATAATAAAATAAAATATAAAGTTTGCTGATTGAAATAAAAATAATAGAGTGAAAACACTGTTAATTTTGTGCCTTTATTTCTGCATTTTAAAAAGTTAAACGTTTTGTTTCAATGATAATACGAACCACCCTAGTATAAATTGACACCAACATCAGGGTTCTAGGTGAAAGTTAATGCTTTTCCGTTGATACTGAATCCACACCCGTTCAACCACACCCAAATTCGAAATGCACCAAATTGTTTTGGTTTTGGCATTGCAAATTAGAAAAATGGGAAGTATTGAAATGTTGAACATATTCGTAAACACACACACACTAATCGAGTCAGTACGGTTTTACTGAGTTTTTGAATTGCGGAACTGTTCGGTAAAAGTTTAAAAATCTATGGAAAATTTATTAATGAGAAAATTTGTTCTGAACTTGTACATACTTAGTTCTGTTAATCCCATTTAATGATAGAAAATATAATTGGTCGATTTCATTGATTCCTTTCGGATAACGGTCATTTGAATTTTTACCGACTTTTTCAGCAATTCAAAAACCCAGTTAAAAAAATACTGACTCCTGTGAAAAAATCTTAGTGTGCAATATTATTGTATAGTTATAATAATTCTACTACTGAAATGACAACTTCAATTTCAAGATTCCAAGTTCAGGGTAGTCCTACTAATGCTCAAGGAAGTCTTGCCGTAGTTCAGGGAAGGCCTGCCGAAGTTCAGGGAAGTCCTGCCGAAGTTCAGAGAAGTTCGGCCGAAGTTCAGGGAAGTTCTACCGAAGTTCAGGGAAGTTCTGCTGAAGTTCCGAGAAGGGCTGCTGAAGTTCAGTGAAATCCTTTCATTTCAATTCTTGGAAATCAGAGAAGTCCTGATGAAGTTCAAGGATCTCATGCTGAAGTTCAGGGAAGGCCTGCCGAACCTCAGGGAAGTCCTGTCGAAGTTCAGAGAAGTTCAACCGAAGTTCAGGGAAGTCCTGCTGAACTTCAGGGAAGTTATGCTGAAGTTCGTGGAATTATATAATTATCTTTAAAAACACCAAGATATATCAACATACCTTCATCAAAAAGGCTGAAATTTTCACAGAATATCATGAAATACTTGTGAAAATCGAGGATCATATTTTCTTCCTTGATTTGTTTTCCGTCGATCTTGTCAGGGAGGCAGCTCCCACACCTGGACCCTACCTATTGACCCATCAACTCATGAGCCGGGGACCAACGGCTTTACTTCCCCTCAGAGATGTTATGCCTCAGAAAATTCCGGTGACGTCAACTAGGATTGAACTAAGGGCTGCTGGAGTGAAAGATGATCACGCTTACAACTACACACCCGGCACCACTCAGGATCAATTTGATTTAAACAATATTCTATTTAGCAATGGCAAAGGTGGGTGGTTTCATAAGTAGTATAATTTATCTAATTATCTTTAAAATTATCTGGACATATCAGAATACCTTCATCAAAAAGGCTGAAATTTTTACAAAATATACTCAAATACTTGTGATTCAACTTGATAAATTTAAAGATCAAATTGGTTTAAAAAATATTTTATTGATCAATGGCAAAGCTGGAAGATTTCTACAATATTTGAAGATATAGTTCAATTTATCTTATTATCTTTAAAAATACCAAGATATAACAGAATAACTTCATCAAATAGGCTGAAACATTCACAGGGTATCCTTCAATTAGTTTACACATGCAAACACTTGAATTGTTTTATTATTTCACAAATACACGCGTTGCCAACACGACTTAGAAATACTCTAATTTTAGAAATATTTTTACTATCTATTTTCAAGCATTTTCATAATGGAGTTCTTGTGATAACGCATCGATGACATTGCCGAATAGCATCCGTGTGATTTTCGCAAAATATTTCGAATTGAAATACCAAAATATATCTTACAATATAGGGTAAAGCGCTATTTCGTCGTAATCGTATATTTCCGTTCTATCGATCAGAAATCATCAATAATATCAATGATATCACCGTGCACAAATCAATAATAGGTTTGTTCCGATGCGCTAGTTCATTAGCTATAACATAAATCCTATTAGAGCGCATTGCATGAATATTTACGCTCATTGTTCTCAAAACAAAAGAAGCGCTTCTTGCGAATCCCCTTTTTCTAAGTTTATCCTTAGGACGAAGAAAATCTAATGGCGTTTCAATGCGTTAGGACGGAATTGAAACTCGTAGGACGAATTAAGAATCAAGAAGCACTATTAGATTTTAAACAATATCTCAACAATTTGTGAATAAATTTAGAATTTATCATTGACATAAATATTACATTTTTTTTGGTCAAACCCGTTCAAAAAAGAGAGGTGATGCACGGGTTGTGCTTAGAAGGACGAAAATAAGATCAAAAACCCTACATCAATTTTTGCAAATTAAAAACGTCACGCGCGAGCTTGATCCTGCTGATTGTGCTGATGGTGGTTTTTATTGATAATTCATTCATGGATCGCCCCATCGTGTGGCTTTTTTTTGCTTCTCTGTTTGGTGCGAGGGTTCCAAATCACATTGTTCTTCAACCTGGAGTATGCTTACGCACAGATACATGCAAAAGCCAGTTGATTGCTTAGGAAAACAAAATCTAATACTTGGAATTGCATTACAAAAAAATGGTTTGCATTGACATAATGCCTTTTACAGGTATGTTGTCTTCGGAGGAAATGTTCCCAACAATATTTTGAAACGATCTACGGGAGTGAAATATGACCATTCATACGAAATACTTGTGTAATTGATGAACAAAGATAGCGACCACTAAGATTGTGGTCCTAAAATGGAACTTAGAAAATGGTTTACAGAAAATTTAAACAATAAATCAATCTTGTAAAAATTTCTAGAGATAGCAATTTTAGTTTTTCAATTTTGCACGGAAGAGTTTTTTCAATTGAGCGCTGCATTATTTTGTAAAAAATCGATGAAGTGAGTCATTCTAAACCGATCCACTTTCACCTTAACTGTAAGCCACAACGTTGTGGAAGAGGGCGACCCCAGCGTAGAGGTTGGCATCCATACCTCTCACGCCAAAGTCACGAGTTCAAATCTCACTCCCGGACAAGTCACGAATGACCAAAGCGCATTAAAGTGACTATAAAAAAAACTTTGTGGAAGACAACTGTTGTAAAATTTTTAAATGTCTGCCTCTAAATGCATCTTTTCAGTTTTTTGAACTCTTTATTTGTTCCAAATTCAAAATAAATTAATTTAATTTTCACCTACTTACCGTTAAGGCTGTTATGGTACATATCTAAGTGTTTTTACATTGCTCCTGCATTGGTAATTCAGTATTCAGTAAACAGTTTTTTTTAAACCTGCATGTCAGTATAACAATTTACATCATAAAACTAAATACTAACACTAAATCTTATCTAAGTATAAAGGGATTTAATCGTTGCAATTGAGGATTGCAACGATTTTTGCCTGGAATTATAATTATTTTGATGAACTTTTGTTCTAAAGTCTCAAAATTCGAAGTTCTATGTACCTCGGTAGTACTGTACCAGGGAGGCTACTTCAAAATCATCTTGAGAACATTGTTCTGAATCCTTTGAAGTGTTTTTTTTTTCTGGTAGTGCAACAACTAGACCGTATTGGCACAGTGTAAAGCATGGCTGGTCCAAAACCTTGTTTAAATATTGGAAGTTTATTCGTCCGACAAAGTTTAGATTTTTTTTTTTAGTTCTTTCTTAAGGAGATTTTTAGCCTATGGCTAGTTCATCTCCGGAAGGACAAAGTTTAGATTTCCTGTTTATAAGAGGGTACAAACATTTTATATATTTGTTACATTTGGCTTGAATGCCCTCAATGTGATCTTTTAAATTTAATTTTCGGTCGAGTACTAACCCAAGATATTTCACTTGGTTTGACCAGGACATTGGAACTCCGTTCATCATCTTTCCTGCTAAATTCCCATTCTGTACCACTGTCTGTGCAGTGGTTCAGTTCGCCAACCAACAAGGTAAAGTACGATATGTGACGGACGAGCAGTTTCCTTTCGGGCATTGAAAATAGATTGCATATTAACTGATAGTAAATTTGATAACCCTATCGCAACACTTCCACGTGCTAGAGTCGGTAGAACAGGAACGGGCGCATAAAAATGCGATAATAGTAATACAGCCACCAGTTCCTCACTCTCAAGACCCGTCCCCATCCTCCATTCCTCAGACAAGGAGTGAGTAAGAATGTGAAAACATCAGGATCAGAAAGCATGCTTTATACGGTATGTGATGCATGTATGCGCCTGCTGACAGAAGCACATCACGCTATGAGGATTCACACGCTCCATGGAAATGAATACGAATGAGAATGGTAACATGATTTACAACGGGATGGATGTGTTGAGGTGGTTCACTAAATTGCTAGCGCTAGGAAAAATCCTATCCCAATCCGAAAGTATTAAACTCTAACAAGTTGGTATGAGTGGCATGGTGAATTGTTTTGTTTCGTTATCTTTCATGATTGGAATTCGAAGGAACTTTGAAACAAGTCAGTTTTAGTCAGATGATGTATTTGTATTTTCCTTTTTACACATGATTCTACCTAAAAACTCACTTAATCGTACGAAAATTTATACATTTAAAAGTATAATTTGATATACATTGTGTCTACGTTGTACCAAATCTAATTTGTCAAAATGCCTTAATTCGTCTACTCCAACAAAAATACTGCTTTTCACAAATGCTGCCCCTCGGAGCAACAGGTCACGCGCACACACGCTAAGAGATAACATCTATCACAAATGCTTCCAAAAAGTATATAGAGTAGGATTTTTAGGATCGCTTGTTCAGCTTCTCAAACTTGCTCTTGTAGATGCCCTCCGGATCGAACTTGTCCAGCAGTTTCTTCCATTCGACCGGTTTCCTCGATTCCAGATGGCTGATAACCTTGCGCGAGTTGGTGCGCTGCTTTTCGCTGCACTTCTCGCAGTTTGTGCGCAGTGCGTCTGGGAGAGTTCCTACGGCGGGCGGGGATAGAAGAAATGATGATAAGATTAGTTTTTTTGTTATGCAATAATGGTACTGGGAATACTTGTTAAACTAAGTGCAAGATTTTGACTGGTTGACCTTATTCATTGAATATCTATAATTCAGCTAATGTTCATCAAGTAAGGGCCTCCCTTAGCTCAGTCGGTAAAGCTATAAAGCAAGACCTTGCTGAAGGCGGTTGGGTTCAATTCCCGGTCCGGTTTATGAATTCTTCGGGTTAGATAATGCTCGACTGAGGCATAGAGCATGAGTTTACGTGCCACACATTAAAACTAATACAAAAATGATACTAGAAACCTTTCAATTAACAATTTTGGAATTGCTCTCAGAATACTAAGATGAGAGCGGACGTAACCTCCAGTAGGGACAAAATAAAGCCAAAGAAAATCAAAGTGAGAAGCAGAATCATATGCGGATGTTTTGTCGTAAGCCCACTATCATTGGAGGTAGAAAAAGATACTTCCGGTAGACTGAAAAAAAATTCCAACAAAAGCCTTAAAGCACTATTCGTTATTTGCTGCAAAATTCCGCATTCATTAAATTGTTCTGCATCAGCAAAATTCATCATAGCCTCCACTGTAACCACAGCACGAGATACCATTCAAATCTGCTCCGGGAAAATCAGTCGGAGAAGCAGTGCTGCCCCCAAACAAACTCCAACTGTTCCAAATGGAAAGTTTCCACCATAAATCACCACCTCATTCCTCGTTAACGGGAGGCACGGTGCAATCGTAAATAAAACCTTCTACTTCCGCAGCTTGAACATGCGGAGCTGGCGAGACTACCAGCGAGAACTAAGTCCGCTCAGTCGGTGTAGGCATTGAGGGGAGAACAAATCTAGGTAGGTATGCAGAAACGGAGATGGAAAACAGCTTTTCGACATTTCAATTTCAACGGTTCAGTTAAATTGAGTCCGGAAGCTTATAAACTCAGATGGGTGACAAAGCGTGAATATCACGCTATTGTTGAATAAGGAAATGAGGAGGAGGAAACCTTTGGCATGTTTGTATAAAAAGTGAAATTCTATAGTCGCAACTAATGGAAATAAACAGAAAAGCAACGATGAAAAGCGGGAGCAAAGGTTGAGTTGAAGCTTAAGTCTGAAGCAAAAAAAAAAGAAGATGACGTAAAAGTATTAGGAAAGCTGTTGTTTTTCCTTTGTCACTGGCGCACCATGGTGATGAATAACGAATTTAAATGGAGTGTTGGTAAAAGGTAAATTACGATACAGTACAATCATATGGACGATACAGAGCTCTTTAATTTAGTTTGATTTATTGACTACTATTTGGGTGGCTAAAACTATCCGCTGTACTTCATATAAAGCAATCGCTCTTAAAACCTGCCAATTTCACTTTCAGACCGTCACAACAAGCGATGTTTTGATTTGTGAGCGATCACTCAGAGTAGGCGCTCACGAATCGTAAAATAGCTGATAGTGACGCTCTGAATGCAATATTTACTACCTTCTCTTGTAACTTATGCTGTGGATGCACTTGGTTGTCAAACTACGGTATGATTTATATAATAATTATAAGCACCATACTACAACTATACAAAAACTATACAAGTGTGACTATGGATGTGCTAATAATTTATTATACAAATAATGCTCATGTTCACAGTTTGTCATACCAGTGTGTCCGTGACATTGCAACTACTGATTATCATGAATGTTCTCATAATTCCTAAAAACAATTTTTAATAGCAAGTCAGATTTGAAATTCGTTTGGTGTAAACATTTTAGTAGCTTATCATTGGTAAAATATTTAAAATTGGTCGAATTTTTTGGCAGTAGTCAACCAGCCACGTGTGCTTGCGTGCTCTGACCACGGAGAGTAGACTGCAGTGATGCAAAATATCATGACACTCACGTGACACTCGTCTTCGCATCAACCGACTATCGCTGACAGAACGTTTTGTCACGCAGTGAGAGGTAGAGCCATGTCAAACAACAATCACCAGTAATGGTCGCTGCTCACAAGCAATACGTTACACTCGCTGCTGATGATGAACAGGACAACGAAAAAAGTGAAGCCTTCTGCAGTACGATCATGAGAAAAGGCGAAACGACAGAACAAAATGAAAACAATACCTACGCATTCCAAGTTCGTCTCGGTAGGCGCGACTGTGTGAGTTACACACAAAGCAGGCAACATTAAACGGAAGCTGTTGGGCTCACCCACCAACACACTCACATAAGCAAGCACAGCAGCAACTGCTTCAAAACGAGCACAGATGAGTGTTGTGATTGTCGGGAATGACCAGATCGGTGATGGATCACAACCGAAGACGACATTCACCAGTTGTTTTTTACTCCTTTCGTCAACTTGATGGATGGTCAAGGAGAGAGCTTCGATAAGCACATTGATATGAATGTACAAAGCGTTACTACCATCAGCTGTTTGACGATCATGATTGTGATAGGTCGCAACTCTGGTAGACTGGCCCACAAAAATGAAAGTTCTAATTTTTCACGAGCCAACCTCTAGAATTGTGCCTTTAGGTGAGAAAACCATTCTCTGAAAGTTTTAGCTCCTTTGGTTCTAGGATGAGCTGGCGCTTTTAGTTTGAATTTTGTATGGGGATTTTGGATAAAATACATGACAAAATTACACTCCTACACTCTATCGATCATAATCATAATCGATATTCTCGATTTGATTCACATTTTCAAAACTTGTAGTTCAAACAATGAGTAACAACTTTGCAGAGTTTTATTGAGATATTCGCTTTTGAATATGTATGACAATTTCAACCAAATCTCCTATATAAACATTAAACCTAAGGCACCACTCCCTGTTAAAGTCCCAAAATCAGCTGAAACCTTCAGAGAGTGGTTATCTCACCTACTGACACAAGTTCTGAGCTTAATCGAGTGTACTAAACCAGTTCTATGTACGAAAGAGTGTAGGAATGTTATTTCTTCATACATGCAATTTTCAGAGAGTGGTTTTCTCACCTTATGGTGGGTTGGCCCCTTGATTTTTTTTTAAATCTCTTATAAATGTGGGCCAGTCTAATGGAGAGAACAGAGCGAGACGATGTTATAAAACAGCTTGATTTTGATCAAAATTGTATGCCTAGGTTGAGCAAGGAAACAAAAATATTCCCAAATGTTAAAACGAAAAGCGATCAACGAGCAGAACGATAACACTTTGTCAGAAATGGAAAGCAATAATGATGTAATCTTCTTCCTTTTTTTCATGACAAACAGCACCTGCAACACAGCTCGCTCGGGTTGGTGGAAGGAATCATGTGTTAATAGGAAGTTTTTTGCTATGTCTTTTTTCGATTCCGATCAAGCTATGTCCTCAACCATGTATATTGAACCAAAGCAGGCAAGCAATATATCATTTTCCTTCTACCACTCCGATCGAGCTGTGTTGCAGAAAGAGTTTGTCATGGTAGACGTAGCAAGCGTTTTGTCTGTATCGTTGATTGCTTTATGTGTTTGGATTCTGAGTAATATTTTTCATGATTTTCATCGCATTCGAGCACACGACCGATGAGAGTAACTCAGTATTGAGTCAAATTTGACTCAACATATAAAAAAGTTAGGTTACGAGTATACTATTTATCGATTTTCCTGATATTAGAGCGAACGTTTGAGGAAAATCATGGAAAATTTTACTCACCCATTGAGTAACCCAACTTTCTAAGATTTTGAGTTAAATATTGCGGTCTTCATCAAAGTTCTTCAGACAGATGGATCACGTCTATTGGATGGTGATCAGCTCAGTTCACCCTCCAGGTGGCACTAATGTTAAATTTGTTTTCAAATTACTTGATTACCTTGACTAGATGAAAGGTTTCTGTCTATGGCAAATCTGTATAAGTGAATAAGACTTATTGGATGGTGTACATCAAAATTCGCTACTGTGTTACCAGTGTGATTGAACTATTCAACAAATGGTTTGGATGATACCCCAAACACGTCGTTAAGCAAAATAGGCATACAAATTTTATTAGGGCTGGCTTATAACGAATATACACATTATCCGGGAAAACATGGACTTGTCTTATTTCATGTTCATTATGCTATCATAAATTAACGACAACGGCGCCGGTGGTGTAGTGGTAAGCGTGATTACCTCTCACCCTAGCAGGCCTGGGTTCAATCCCAGTCGGCGCCGCCGGGATGTTCTGAGGCATAACATCTCTGATCACGCTTTCCTTCGGATGGGAAGTGGAAATTTAAGTGTGAGACACATGATGATGACGTGTGGATTTTTTTTAATGTAGAAGAGAAAAAGCGATAGAGAGTGAACACCATTCGAAATGTTTTGTGTGTAAAGTGTATTTGTAGTGATGCAAATTATGGTTTTGGCATGGCTTCAATCATTTTGTATATCCAAACATATTACATACTAAATACGCACAAGGCATCGTCTGTTGACCATTGCCACGGGTATATCGTGGGAGTCCCAGGTACCCGGCTCAAGCTTTAGTTGGCGGCGGTGGCTCTTCTTGACCTTCTACCCCCTGAGTAGTAAGTGTGAATAAGGGCGTCTATGTGATGCTTTGCTGTGCCTGTTGTGAATATCTAGTGCATCCTGTTCCCTTGACTTGTTGAGGACACCCTGTCTTGCCTCAAAAGTTACCCTTTTTGAAATACTAGTCTTCACAACATAAAGGGCAACATTACGAAGCATGAGATTTGATCAAATTATTCGCAGTTCTACTTGTTCAACGCCCCCGCCTGGGTGAGGGATATAAGATGTCACACACACACTCACGTTATGCTAAATTAGACGAGGTATATTCCCGCCGATAGAATGTATAGGGCTTAGATCTAATATTGGGCCTACTAAGCATAACCCGCCCTTTGCCTCTATTTTGCGAGTGGATTTTTTTTTCACAAAATAGAATGTTTTCACTGCAGATGACTTTTAAATTTAGGTCATATGGTTGGAAGAACATAAGATAGGGGCAAAAGGCCGAAACTCTAAAAATGATAAGATTTTTGTTTAACGAATGAGTGTACTATATAGAAGAGTAAGTTGTATTGGTTTTTTATACATAAAAGCACTGCTCACGTATAAAAGAAGGTAAAACCTCTGAAAATACGAGATTCTAATATCTCATCTTAGTTTTTGAAATTTTTCGAAAGAACTGATCATCGAAAATCTTTTAAAATTTGATAATTTCGATTTTTCATCAATTTTTCAAATCCTAAATCTCACAAATTTTCCAAAGTTCAAAGCGTACATTTTCAAAATTATTAGCTTTAAATGCAAAGTTCAATCATAGTATCTCAAAAAATCAGATTAGAAGGAGGGTATGATTTCTTCTTCTTATACGCATTTCAAGCTTATTACGTAGCGCATATTATCTTATTGCGTGCTCTTAACTTAGTGTTCTAGATGTACTTCCACAGTTATTAATTGAGAGCTTTCGATGCCAATACCAATTGCATGAATTTGTATATAGTGTGGCAAGCACAATGATACTCTATGCCCAGGGAAGTCGAGAAAATTTCCAACCCGAAAGATTCCCTCGACCGGACCGGGAATCGAACCCGCCGCCTCCGGCTTGGTAATACCGTGCCTTTACTGACTAGGCTATGAGGCCTCCAAGAAGGGTATAAATAGATTTTGGTTTGGTTTGTTTTTTCCGTCGATCTTGTTTTCCGTGCTGAGCACCAATGCTACCGACGTGCCAGGAAGGCAGCTCCCACACCTGGACCCTACCTATCGACCCATCAACTCATGAACCGGGGACCAACGGCTTTACTTCCCATCCGAAGGAAGACGTGATCAGAGATGTTATGCCTCAGAACATCCCAGCGGCGCCGACTGGGATTGAACCCAGGCCTGCTGGGGTGAAAGATAATCACGCTTATCACTACACCACCGGCGCCGTTATGGGTATAAATAGATATTAATTATTATTATATCCTTCAACATTACAGCTAAATCAATGCAAACAAAATTTTAGATAACGAACAGCTTTCAAAGAAGGACCAATAGTATAAAATCATATATAACTTTTGAAAACTTGTTTGAAGAAACGACAAATCAGTTTCGGAATATTTACATCAGCTTTTGGCATTTCGAACTCTTGTTCTTTCTGCCTTTTGTCCCTTTCGACCTTCTTTCATTTCTTTATTTAACGTCGGTCTCTGTTCCGCAATCTAGTACCAATCACCGACGGACATCGATTGCCATCCATTGACGGCAAGTCGCCGCACCCCCCACTCACTCAGATGCAACATATATTTTTTTAGGTTTCTTGTACCTAGGCAAAATTTACATTCTTAGATTCATTAGGTTTTACCAACTTTTTTTTTGTATTTATCTTCCACATTTGTTTGAGTTTCCGAATCAGATAAAAGTTAGATTCTTTATTTCAGTAAACTTGAGAAAAAGCAATAATATTTTTTTTTTCTTGATAATAACAGACTACGAAGAGTATTTAATGCGTAGATGAAACTGAAGTGCGAGGTTTCATGAGAATACCAACAATACTGTAGAGTGAATTTCAAAAAAATCAGTATATGGTGAAAGTTTGATGGGAATTCCAATTAGAATCCAAATTGTTTCTAGTGTGTCAGAAATTTTACTTGTGAATATATATTTTTAAATCATCACAATTGGGTGGAAAATAAAATAAAATTGTCGATTTTTGCGACTTTTGTAAACTTTATTCCAGGATGGTCTAAAAATAATCATAAAAGCCAATTTTTTTTTTTTATCCAACCCATACTTTAAGAAAAATCTCAAATAAAATATTTCTAACAAATGTTCAAACTAATCATGATTATTGAAAAACTTTCATCGAATAAAATGGTGGATCTCTACCAAGACTAAATTTTCAAGCATAATTTTGTAAGTTGTAAAAGATAAATAGATAAGCTTAGAAGAGGAATTGGGAATGTCTTCGATGAAATAAGAAATCTTCAAGTATTGAACGTTCACCAAATTGTAGAATATTAAAATCCTTATGATTAAAAAACAACACGCAACGTCTTTATAATTGTACGTTAATTGAAGATTTTAATAAATTAGGGATACTAAAGATGTTTTACCATGTTGCTTTGCTTAATTGTCGGAGTCATAAATTATTAGTAAATTTTCTAAATGCTAATCGTTTAGAGTTGATTATATGGACAACACTAAAAGGACTGTTATTGCAAGTTAAGCCTTGGAAAAAAATTAAAATGATATTAAACTCCGAATTTTAAAAATCTGTCACAGTCTGGTGAAAATAGAATTCAGATATCGAGCTTAACATGAGTTCGTATTGAAGTAATGAAATTGGGTTGTTAGCGGAATGCTAAATAAAACAGTAAAAAGGGTTATCTTCTATTTAATTCCACTTAATTAATTTTGGTATCCATGACAGATACGTATTTCGACGACAATTAAATGGAAGATAACCCTTTTTGCTGTTTTATGAGTTCGTAACTTTATAAAATCTATTCTATGGATCTTAATTTCTTGCAAGCTTTAGATTCCTTAAACAGTTCGTAAAGCCAATTTATCACTTCTCCACCCTCGTTATTTATTAATCCTGCTTTTCTTCTTAATGCTATTGAAGATGATTCCCGGCATCGTTATCAATAATTTGAATGAGATAACTTAATACTTGTTACTAAGAAAAATCTTGGGAAAATTAAAAAAATATGTTGTTAGGGGTCAGGGTTTCTAGGGACATTAAAAAGATCTGGGAGTGGAAAATCAGAGGATTGTAGGACTTGTAGAAACTAACTTAATTTTAATAACGACTAGAAAAAACTTGAAACTTGAAGACAATCCCTAGAGTTTGAAAGGTTCTGGCACCCTGCATACATTATTTATAAACATGTTGTATTTTTATACACATTCATAAAATACCGATGACATATGCCGAAGCATGACTGAAAATTCAGTTTCGGTTAAACGACGATCGACCTAGTAATCAATACGGTATAATAGCGTTCGGTATAATTGTGTTCAGCTAATCGGCATCTAAACTTATTCTCCATAAAAAATAATGTTTTTACCTCCTTCCCCCTACTTGCTACGCCCTTGCAAGACATTGAAGAAGTCTGCAAATTATAGACAACATACGCGTATCTGTCAGGAGAAGCAAATAAGGTAATGGCATCAAATGGAAATTACTAATCCTTCTTTCTCTCTTTATACAGGTATTTCACTAAGACGCCCACATTCATCAGGATTCAACTATTGTTATTTTTCAAACAGAACGAACGCTAAACAGAAATGCACTACAGTAAAAGTCACTTAAATATGTGTGAGATTTACTCACATGTGAGTAGGAATTTTTTGAGTGAATGGGACTCATATATTAGAAAAATTATTTTGCCAAAACATGAAATGAAGACAGCATCAGTAGGACCTACGTTCGATTCCCGCATTTCCCTTGTCAAAATGACTTATGGTGATTTCCCTTCTCAAAAATTTCCGGAAAAGTCCAAGTGGCAATAGGAAAATATAAAAAAAAGTCTCGCTTAATGAAATCCAGACTGACTTACTTCCTCAAATTGTCTGTTTTCCATTTTCCTTCTGTTAAACCATCCCATCATCGCTCCGAATTTGAGGAGCTTAATTCCGATAATCCCCTTCGTTTTTTTTATCTCCACCTAAACGATAATGGAAAAGCTGCTTCCTCGCTTAGATAGTCGGAAAATCTCATTCAAACAGAATTGGCTGCCAACACGTGGCATTAATCATCTCCATTTACACAAAGATGGTGACTGACTGCAGTAGCAGCTACTTACTCTTCAGTTCCCGTCCCTCCTGGGTGCAGGGTCCCTTGTCCAGCAGACACTTGAGGTAGTTACTCAGGATCCGGTCGTTGCTGAGGACCTGATCCACGTTGATATTGTCGAATTTATCGGTGTACTTTTGCTGCTGAGCGGAGGCGGTGGCTGCCAACGCGACCAGGCCGAACACAATCAAGGTGAGGGATTTCATCTTCTTCCGGGCTTCGTTTATTGTTGTTCTGTTGTCTGAGCGAGAAGGTTGCTGCTACGTGAGTGTTTATAGTGAGCGGATTACTGGGCCTGGGGTTTTCTGTGAAAAGATGTGGGGAAATGGGGTATGGATTAGACAGTGGAAGAGCAGGTTTGATGTTTTGGATGCTACATGAGAATCTCTTTTATCGAACTATGTTGTAAAAATATCGTGAATTGTGTGTGCTCATATTGCGCCCTCTGTCTACAAACCATGAAAACCATAAAAGAAACACAATGTTTTCCAATACAAAGTCCCAATTTTTTTTATAACATTACAGTTTTTCTAATAAGTATTTTTAATTACCTTTGATGATTTGATGTTCTGATCTTTGTAATCGGCAAAGTTATGAATTTTTTGAAAAAGTTATTTAGAAAATGCTCAACCTAATGACAATTTTTGCGATGAGGAACAAAACAACTAATTTTTACGAAATTTTGAGAACCACTATATCGGTTTGCTGTGAAATGGCTGTAATTCTTTATAAAAAAGTTATTAGCAGCACCGCCCTAGCGGTAGATCTCCTTACAAATTTGATGTCGCAAAGTGAAGGCCCAGATGCTAAGGATCAATTTTGCTCAAGACTCAAAGCTTCCATAATGCATCCTTGAGGAGCTATTGATTAAAACCACTTGTTGGTACGTGGACGGTGATGGGGTTTACCCGTTCCCTTTCGAAGGATTTTCCACCGTCGAGGTATCGGCGGACCAGAAGATTTGCACGATGATTCCACAGGAAAATTAGCAGTACCAGCCTATGGTGCCTTTAGTCCCAGTAACACAACACTTAAAATTGTTTCTTCCACATGGGCAAACACAATGGTGTTGGATACGTTGGATGCGTTGCTTGGCCGTTTGTTCACATAAATAGTGCCTGATGCACTCAAAGAATCTTGGTTTGCTGCACCTTATGCACCTCTTCAAGCGGTAGATTGCACTTAACGCCGGGTTGGTTCGGAACAAGTAGAAATTGAATTGCACTACAAGCACTAATTTGGTTCGGTATAACTATAATTCAACGACCGGTCAAAAATACAGAACAGAAAACGGGATGTCTGTCACCTCCGACGGTATATTTTGTACTATCGTTGAATTATAGTTATACCGAATCAAATTAGTGCTTGTAGTGCAATTCAATTTCTACTTGTTCCGAACCAACCCGGCGTTAAGTGCAATCTACCGCTTCATCCGGCTCGAAGGACCACAAATGATGGGGCTTACCTGTTCCTTTTCGAAGGATTTTCCACCGTCGAGGTATCGACGGCCCAGAAGATTTGCACGTCCTTCATCCGCTTTGGATGTCCGAAGCGAGAACCCGAGTAGCCATGGTAGGTACTGTTGATGCAAGATTTTCCGATCAATTGTTCAACCGATATTCCAGCTTCAGCAAGCTTAGATGATCCATCGCATACTGGATACGGTACATCCGTGCCTTGAAGGCAACCATCAAGAAAACCACCATCGAATTATTCGTAACCATAACCACTGCCGACCTACGTGAAGCAGATCTTGCCTTAGCTCGTCTGGCTCAGCGAGAAACGTCCTGCGAGGAAGTATCCAATCCGATCTGTTGGCCGATCACTACCACAAGACTCTGCTGCACGCTGGTTCCCAGCTGATGCTTGCCACGATTCGCCAGAAGTTCTGGATCATCGGTGGTCGAAACCTTGTTCGCCGTACGTATCACCAATCGCGGTTGAGTGGCAAGCATCAGCTGGGGACCAGCGTGCAGCAGAGTCTTGTGGTAGTGATCGGTCAACAGATCGAATAGCAGATGCTTTGATGAGAGGACGATCGGGTGTTTAGCATCTTCGGAAACTGCGGCGTTGCCGAGTCTTCCACCAACTCGGATCACACCTTCCCTGGTTATTCTTGGGTTGAGCCATTTCAATGGCGATGACGAATGTACTCGTTCTCCAGCAAGAAGGTTGGATACTTCCTCGCAGAACGTTTCTCGCTGAGCCAGACGAGCTAAGGCAAGATCTGCTTCACGTATGTCGGCAGTGGTTATGGTTACGAATAATTCGATGGTGGTTTTCTTGACGGTTGCCTTCAAGGCACGGATGTACCGTATCCAGTAACCTTGTTTCCATTGAAAGATCTCATGTGTTTTTTACAGAGGTTGTTGTGTTCTTGTGTCTAACTAACACCGGATGATAGAGGTTATCTTCAAAATCTCATTAATTTCTTTGCTATGACAGAACTTGACAGTGTTGTGATCATTGCCATTACAAGCTCATTTATTGGTATTATTGTAACTAGTACCGTACAAATCATTTAATAATATTCACTTTACGAGTACATCATGATGATAACGTAAATTCACTGGTGATTGTTGTAGAAGTTATACCGCGACATAGTGTTACTTCGTCTATACTTGTCATCATCATGATGAACTTGTATAGTATTCCGCAAAACCAGGCTCAAACGATTCTATACCGCTCGATTGTTTTTATTCTATACCGCTTATTTTAAATAACACAAGATTAGCTAGACGCTGGCAAAGTAAGCGATCCTTATTATAAGTACCATTATCAGTTTCAGACAAACCACAGCTTGCATTCATAATGTATTGGCGACAAAGTGTCTATGTGATCCAATGCATTGATGTCATCGTGCACATATCAATAAAACGTTTCATTCACTACTGCAGTTCAAAAGCTGCAAAGTATGAATATTTACACCCATTATTTTCAAGCACCAACGGCGCCGGTGGTGTAGTGGTAAGCGTGATTACCTTTCACCCCAGCAGGCCTGGGTTCAATCCCAGTCGGCGCCGCCGGGATGTTCTGAGGCATAACATCTCTGATCACGCCTTCGTTCGGATGGGAAGTAAAGCCGTTGGTCCCCGGTTCATGAGTTGATGGGTCGATTGGTAGGGTCCAGGTGTGGGAGCTGCCTTCCTGACACGTCGGTAGCATTGGTGCTCAGCACGGAAAACAAGATCGACGGAAAAACAAACCAAAGGAAAAAAAAATTTCAAGCACTACTTATCACTTTTTCCTGCCTTCTCCGTGTGACGAAGAAAATCCAATGGGCTTCCAATGCGTTTGGAAGGAATTGAAACTTGGTCGACGAATTTGAAATCAAGAAGCGTTGTCGGGTTTTTAACAAAATGCCAACAATTTTTGAACCTTTTCAAATTCCACGGTACGTGACATCCGTTCGAAAATGAGCGGTGAAGCGTGAATTGTGCTGAGTAGGACGGGAATTAGATCAAAACCCTACTAATTGTAATGATAGTAGGCCAAGCTGGATACTGGAAATATAATATCATTCATATTCAACTACTCAACGGAACAAGACGTTTTATTTGGAGCTTCTACATTGGCGACGAGTGTTGAAATGTTACCCGCAAGTGTTAAAAGACAATTTAGAGTTCATCAAATAAATTAGACGAGGGCGAAGGTTAGAACAGCAAGGCATCGCAAGTCTATTGGATGGAAATTTTCTTCAAGTTGTTGAAATTGCTAGAAACGTCAACATGTCCATGGTAACGGATATTATTTTTTCTTAGCATCAGTTGTGTGAGTTTCACTAGTACAACTTGTACATCCATTTTGGAAAATGTGAAGTTTTAAAGCTTCCTTGAATCGATTAAATGAGATTGTATCTGTTGTTGTAATTGATGATGAGACTATTGATCGTGTTCGGGTTTTCTTAGCATCAGTTGTGTGAGTTTCACTAGTACAACTTGTACATCCATTTTGGAAAATGTGAAGTTTTAAAGCTTCCTTGAATCGATTAAATGAGATTGTATCTGTTGTTGTAATTGATGATGAGACTATTGATCGTGTTCGGGAGATTAAATATCTTGGCGTGATTATTGATGACAAACTTAAGTTCAACTTTCACATTGACAATATCATCAAGAAAACTGCCAAGAAGTATCCCAAGCAACAATTTTTGGTTTATTGAAGTTTTATAGCAGTAGATATAACCAAACTATAAAACCTTCACTGCCGACCACATTGCTTTAACAACCTACTAACAACCGCTATACGGCCATGTCATGGCCAATTGGCCCAGTTTTAATGCAATCATAAAACTTGATATGCGAACTACCTTAGAAGCATAGGTTTTATGTCAGTTTTATGACACTCTACACGTGGTTGTTTAAAATGAAAACATAAAACCTCCTCCTGGTCAGAAAGTTTTAACAACCTTTTGATGACTGCCATAATACTATATTACAACCGCATAAATCAGTCCTGAAGAAGTTGATAAAACATGATACGCAAAACATTTTGACAATCTTGAAGCTTTAAGTTGGGGTTTAAGTTGAGGTTTTTGGGTGATAGTTAATATTGAGAAATATTTTATTGTGTTTTTATTCTTTCGATGTTTGATGTGAAATCATGATCCTTGTCAGTTGGTTACAATCAGGGCGTCACAATATCAGCTTCAATCGACCAAATCGATGCGACGAAGAGAGACTGCTGGCTTTCTTTTTCTGTTAAAGTCGAACAGCTTCGCAGTATTCTAGAACCTCAGTCGGCGTGCACAAACAAATATTCATTCGCTTGTCTCTCTTTCTCCCGTCGCTCCATTGGTCTTTCTTTCAAGCTTCTGTGAAACGGATGAGTGAAAGAGCGCTCGCCTTTGATAGTTTTCTCTTTCATGAAACACATCAATAGAGGTTTCATGACGTATATGACGGAAAATGAAAATATATATTTAAAGCATTTCTCACGTAGATACACTTGAAGATTACACGTAATATTTTTAATTTATCTTCCATCCATATATTTATCTAAAAAAAATTATCGAAAACGGGACATAACGCATTTCAAACAAATTGAAAGAGCGGACATAACGCATTTCAAACAAATTGAAAACACACTTGTTTTGCGCCAACTTTTTTCTCAGTGTACCTCAGTGTGCCGCAGTTGTACCGGCAGTGTCAAGAAGTCATTGAACTTTTTATTGCTTGTGAATAATGCCTTGTTTGGCAACCCGGTATTTTAACAGCTTTTATTTTTGTTTTGTTTTTCAATGTTTTCAAAAACTACACGGACTCCAGTTGGGACTACACACTGGATGCATCCGTCTCCAAGGATGCCTGCAACGGACGAGCTCCGTTGCTACACGATCCTTCCATCTTTGGCGGAAGGCCGACCCTGCACAACGAACGTCAATCATTAGTCAACCAACCCTTCTGGAAGCCGGCGGTGGAAATGGATTTGCACCGAATTTTTCACCGCCCGGGTATCATCCGTCGGAAAACTGGAAACCAACACCGGCCAGAACACACGTCGGATTGATGAAGGACGCACCGCTGACCCGAAACGGACCAGGCCAATTTTCCAAGCTGAACTACTTGTCAGAGTCCACCAACCCGTACACCCTGCAGGACAATTCGATCAGCTTCAAGGTCTACAGCGCCTCCAAGAACAATCGCTTCCCAGGCCTGCAAAAATCGCATTCTCCACTTCTTCAATAACCCACCCGTATGCCGTCCGAGGATCTGCTGCTGACTGCATTCACCACCAAGGGCTGCCACCCGTCGCAAGTGCGAATGTTCCCGCTGAAATCGGGATGTTCCTCCTCCGGATTGGTCGAGTTCCCGAGCGTAGCCCTGGCGGTGAACGTCATCATGAAGTGCAACCACAGCGCGATGATCACAAATGCACAAAACTCGCGTTCATTAAGAAGCTGTGCTTCTCCTCCTCCAAGAAGATGAACAGTGCGTGGAGCAACGAGAACACCGAAAACACGTTAGCTTTGAAAGAGCGGAAGCTTATTTTCTGCGAAAAGAAAGGATTTTCCTTTTTCTGGGTAGTTAATGTTATGATTCGTAATTATAATTTCTTATTGTGTTAGTTGGAAGTGCAAAAAGGAACGAGAGTAAAAATTTGTTGAACTATTTGAGATTTTGCCAAGACGGTACTCCAACATTATGTGTTGGACGATGGAATGGTTGATGTAGCAGCCACCGCCATGGATGTATTCGAGCAGTTCGAATGGTCGGATGGTATAGATTTTGTTTGGTTGTTGACTTTCCGATTAAAACTCAAGCACCGCTTGTCGTGACCGGCCCAAGATTTCCAGCGTCGACCACGGCTACACAAATTAGCGATGCAACTCCCACGGCTGCGGCTGATTCCAATGCTGCTGCTGCTTTAGTTGCTGCTGCTGCTGCTGCTGCTGTTCCTTCTGCTGGTCCGTTTCCTTTAAAATTCGTCAAAAAAGACGGACCAGCAGCAGCATTGGAAGCAGCCGCAGCCGTGGGAGCTGCATCGCTAGTTCGTGTAGCCATGGCCGGAAACCTCGGTTAGGTCAAGATACCGCTGCCAGCTGTTCTTCGTATGAGAGGAAATGTGGATGCGACTGCCGTCACAGGTGTAACGATTTTGAGAATCTATGGCGAGACTTGGTGGAGATTCACGGTTGTTTTGAAAATAATTTGACTAGAAGTGGCAACGTCAATAACAAATTTTGACACATGCACACTGCGCAGGCGCAGAAAAAGTTCAGTGTTGCCAGTAACTTTGAAGATCATAAAAATTGTAACCATGGGTGCCAAACAACGTCAATGACTGCACCCCGATGTGCCCCAGTTTGATTTTGGCACACTGTGATAGAGTGTTCGTGAAAGGGGATTGAAAGCCATAATGAGGTTTCGTTTAACTAGAAAATCGACGTTAGTAACATTGAAAGCGATGAGCAAAGCAACGACGAGAAGTTCCACAGCCAGCCTTTCCTTCTAAGCGTCCTGCTTTTTTATTTTCGTTTCTTGCTGATAGTCTAGCTAGGCGTTATAGAAATGAAGCGTCGAACACGTATGTATGAGAGAAACAAAACACGAGTTTATTTTAGAGCTTCGAAAATAAGACGACTTCATTACAATTCTTAATCAATCTGTATATGCTTCACAGCATGCCGTGAAATATTTATGGTGATTATTATACCAAATAGGAGCATAAATTCAGTGCGCCATATGAATACTAAAATATAGGGATATTTTTAATTTGTCTGCATTAGCACCATGCATTAAAGAGTCATTAAAAGATTAGATATTTAGTGCAAAACTGTTACTACTGTTGAACAATAACCAGTCACATATTATTTAATAATACATAGATGTATGAAAGTGTTTTATCGCCTATCAAATAAAGCGTAATCATTCATACTGTGTGAAATTTGTTCATACAGCGCCATTTTTTTCGTTATAACTTGCTACTCCTTAAAAATACATCAATATAACATATTCTCCTAGATTGGAATTCTATAGCAAAACATAAACCTTAATGGTTGTATCTTAGCATTTTGTAGTCCAAATTGAGAGCGTTAAGTTATATTTAAGCTCTATAACTAGCTTGCAGGTTGTATTAGGTACAGCGAATCAAAACAAATCAAAAACCATGGCAATCTGTCAAAAAGTCAACATTCCATGCCATCCTCCTATTTTCTCTTGTAATCAAGATGTCAAAAATGCTTATTGGATCCACTAAAAGCTTTTTCAATGCAAGGTTTAAAGTCGTGATGCCAATACTGGCCATCTCCAAACGGATTTCGTGAAACTGTCTGCGTTGTTTTAAGAAGGATTCGTTGATCTTTTGGAAGTGTATCGGAAAGCCACTTGTTCAATATTTTGAAGAGCTCCTTCACCGCACTGTGCCTTATGTTATATGAGGGAGCCCATAACTGTAGATCATCCGAGAGTTTCATAATGGCGATCGTCTCATGTTCATCATGTTCAAAAGCACTGAAGGTGTTTTCATGTATCTGAATATATTTGTTTTTTTTTTTTTAATATTGGTAACAATTTTCAAAGTATTTTTTGTTATTGTTGTATTATATTTCTTATCTGTGAATCTTAGGCCTCTGATAAAGATGATAGTTGTAATGAGGCTTTAATGAAGGTCTAAGATGGCTTCAAGTTTTATATCGGTCATGAAAAGTATGCCATAAAACATAATTGTATGTTTTGTGTTGGCTTTATTCTGCAGTTATAAGTAGTGATACAGATCCACCTTACAGCTACCGTTAAAACTATGAAGTCTGAGTTTTAATTTAGTAGTCATAAAACAGTTTTATAGACGACTTGAAGGCCGATTTGATGGCAAGCACAAAAAATATTAATACAACCACAGGCTGCAAGGGATGCTATGATAAAACAATGATAAAATAAGAATAAATCTTCCAAGCGTTTAGATTGTTACTTGGGATGGAATTCTATGTCGACTGAAAAACGATTTAACTATTGCCAGTAAAATACAACTATACAAATCAATCATCTCTCCTTGTCTAGACTTTTGCCCTTCCATTTTATTTCTGGGCAATGCGACACATATATCAAGACTACAGCGCTTGCAAAATAATAATATGCGTTTGGTTTTGACATATCAAACGTTCAGCAACACTTATGGAATCTAAAAGACATTACATTTCACACGTTAAAACTGTCGTTTGAACAGTTAACCACTGATTTTTTTATGAATTGACAAATTATGTATCTTGACGAAGTTATCTCTAACGGATTATTTTATATGGATAGCTGTCATAACGACTTTTTTTTTAATAATTATTGTAGTACTGCAAAAACTATTTCTGTTCGCCACGAAGGCGATGATGGATTTTTAATATTTGATTTAATAGTAGTAGATTAATTAAAAAAAAAAAACAGTCTACAAAAGTTTGAGCCTCGCGCGCGTATTACGGATATAGAGGACTGAATTAAAAATTTGTAGGGGTAAGAAGTGGGACCATCATCCTCACCGGAAAGCATTCTATCAACTCGATCCATAAACAATAACTATCGATGATCAACATCACGTTTTAGTAGAATGTTTAATCTCAACTGTTTGAAAACATTGTTCTGACAGCTCAGAAAAAAACATTGCACAACTAGGAGTATAAAACCATGAGCTCACCGTTCGAAGTCAGTCATACCGTGAAATAAAATGAAGTCGTTCTGCTTGATTTTCGCAATATTCGGCTGCGCTTTGGCAGTTTGTACTGACGAACGTGAGCCGATCGTGAATACAATACGTTCTTTGGTGGATGGAGGTAGCCGTTTTTTGTTCTTTTCGGGTTTTTAAAACCGATGATAACTGGAACTTTGGAATTTTGCAGACATCATTCAGTTCTCAGCCTGTCCGGATGTCAACACAAATGGTGTGTATCCCCTCCAGGCCGTAAACGTGACATTTCCACCGTTTTCAGTGTTCTGCGACTACAGCGTCGATGGCAAGGGATGGATCGTCATTCATCGTCGGTTAGATGGAAGCGTGAGCTTTAATCGAAACTGGACCGACTACCGGGATGGGTTTGGATCACTGCAGGGTGAATTTTGGCTGGGCTTGGAGAAGATGCATCAGATCATCCGCGGTGGCAGATATCAACTGTTAGTGGTGCTGCAGGATTTCTATGGAGCAGTAGTCACGGCACAGTACGACAATTTCACGATTGGTTGTGAGATGGACCGATACCGTCTTGAGTATGGGGAATTTTTAAATGGAACAGTGAGCGATAGTTTGCTGAATTCGAATGGAATGCAGTTTTCAACTCCGGATAGCGATAACGATTTAGATTCTACTGAGCCTAGTTGTGCGGAGTACTATACAAGTGGATGGTGGTTCAACGCTTGTCATGAAGCGTGAGTAATAACTGTTAACTATCTGTTCAAGGGAGTTGCAATAATTAGTTTGGTTTTGTTTGTTATAGGAACTTGAATGGGGTATATGACAAGTATAGACGAAGTAACACTATGTCGTGGTATAATTTCTACTACAATCACCAGTGTTTGAAAGCTGCACGGATGATGATTCGGTTTGTGGGAGAAAAGAAGTATTATGGTAGATCAATGCAACATTAGCTGTAGCTCTATTTATTATAAATATGTCAAGATGCATTGATTCTACTTACTCGTAGTATCCGAAAATGGAGCGTTGGAAAACGAAGATTTTTTTATAGCAATCAACACCATTGCATCCAGAAATAACATCACTCTCCCATTTGAACTAGGCCTTCGGGTGATCGGATTGAGTTATCGGGATTGATGAGGAAAGTCAAGCAAAAATGGAAATTTTAGTCTAATTGAATGAGTTTTCTCCAAACGTTTTTTTCGTTCTCGAATTTCTGCTGAGCTTAATCAGTCAGTAGAAACTAAAGATTTAAAATTGGCTCACTACTTGACTATCCTATTGGTCCCAAGTACATCTATAAGCGTACCCTATTCTAGACGAAATTCTAGAATTACACTATGTTTGTTTTGATTCTTCATAGCGACACGTTTGTATATTTTTCTTTGAAAATTTAGGCTTTTCTACGCAACATATCAAAAAATCAACGATGTGTTTTCTTCGTTTTTTAGTTAGGATTTTTTGAAGTTAGTAAGTAATGTTATCATGTTACATTCGATATGTATCAATAGAGACGTAGGGTAATCTAGTCGTATTGGAGAAATGAGCGAAATATCTAAACATGATAATTAAAAAAAAAAATAGTTGCTCAAAAACGAAGAAAATTACATCGCTGATTGTAAAATGTAGTGATTGAACGGATTAGTTCTAGTAGTAATGAAATTTACTCAAAAATAGATGATGTTTACATTTTCTATCGATTGACGATTTAAGAACATGCCAGCAACATTTAAAAAAAATTAAAGGGTTGTGTCCTAGACACGACCGCAGTATGACGTAGAACCACACAAAATTGATGTTTTTCATGCATTTTTGACTATTATACTTTATCTTAAAATTTTCAAGTATTTCAATGTTTCGGTTATGGTTCACTCAAAACAATTTAAACATGTTTCTTGACAAATATATTAATGTGTAATTCCACATGATTTTCATTTGACCACACGTAAACAGAATCCATTCAGAAGTACATATGAAATTTATACGCAAATGAATAGTATGTGTGGTCACGCATGGTTTTTATATGTACACTAGAGTGATGCAAAATTTGAAATTTTCGCTCCACAATACTTAAACGATTCCAAATCGGATCCTGACTAACCTCTCAAAATTTGAACCCATTAGGTGAGAAACTGAGATGGCACAAACCATTTGAAGTTTGTATGGGAATTACTATGGGAGAACCAAGATTTTTGTGCATGTCGATCTAATAATTCACCAGGTCAGTCTGCTTCAAAAGCTTTCAATTGTGCTTGTAGGAAATTTTCCCAGCTACAACTTTGCTTAAAACCACTTTTTGATCAAATGCAAGGATCGAAAGTTATCAATGGTTCAATGCGCTGATGTCTTATGATCATGCTCAATCAACTGCTCAGCAGGCAACATTGGTGTTTCTGGGGCGTTGAATAGGACACAAAAATCATGGCTACTATATCAGACTGCAAAATACAGTGTTGCCTGCAGAGCAGCTGCTTGATCATGTCATAAGTTAACTAATCTCTTAAATAATTAATAACTTTTTCCTGTCTCGTTTTACATAGAAACGATCTTGAGCAAAGATGTAGCTGAGAAAATTTTCCATAAGAATAGCTATCGAACTGTTTCGCAGCTCAATATGGAAAAAGACTAGAAGGCAATGAACAAAAAGTTGAGATTTCCCATAGTAATTTACATGTAAACTTCAAATGGCTTGTGCGAAGTCTGTTTCTAACCAAATGAGATGTAATTTTGGAAGGCTTATCAGGACCCGATTTGAAACCATTTAAGCACTGTGGAGCAAAAAAGTCAAATTCTGCATCAGTCTAATGTACACATATTAAGTATGTGGCCGACACATAGATATTGATTTGTTGATCACGTTGCAACAATTCATGTGTGAAACACATAAAAACTCCAGAACAAGATCCTAAGGATGATCCTAAACAGTCCAGGACCCGAAATTCTGAGGTTCACCGCCTGGCTGGCCTTCAGCCTCTCGAAGAGCGACGAACGGTCTCCTTGGAAAGGTTTAGAGACACCTGTCTGAGATCAGATCTTCAGATCATACGTGATCTGGCACATTAGTTAAGTTAGACTCGTAGTTAGGTAGGTTATCAAATTTTTCAATTAAACAAAACAAACCACCCAAGGGGTATTCTGTTAACTAGATGAAATACGCAAATACTTTATTAGAATATCCAATGAACAAAGATGAAGAGCCAGATAGGCTAATGAATTGAAATGTATACACCATAATCAACAGAAATAAACGAAATTTTACTACTACTACTTTTAGAGTCAGTGGTGTGTAATTCATCAACATAATATCATCAAATATGTTTCCAAGCAATATTTTTTCTCAAATTTGAAAGTTTTGGTGCGGGAAGAAATTAAGGGAAAAACTTCTGTTTTTACCTCGGTTTTTACTAATAATTGTAATTTGTTTGAAATTTATTTCCCGGAAAAAAGTGATCGTCAAAGTCCATGTCTTTTTCGGATTATTGTTGAGGGGGGGGGGGGGAGGTTGCTGTGAAGGGAGGGAGTGGGTTTACAAACATTGCATTTTCTCATTCCTCATTGTCTCATTACGCCGTGATCCACCTTTAGCCACTGACTCCAACCAAGTGGCACGCCGTCCGAGACGACAATGAGCAAAAGCACGACAGCAGCGCTGTTTTATATCTTTTCAGGTTAAAGCAGACCGATGTGCAACCAAACCTGATAGGATTTCCCGCCGTTTTTTTATGAATGGGGGGGAGCAAAAAGTTTCTTTTGTGCAGGATATGTAAAAAAGGATGGGCTTTGGATGTTAATATAATTGCATATACAGAGTTACCAGATATGTTTTACCATCGATCAAGCAATTTCCCGGGCCAGGGAGCTACATGTGCCAGTATCCAGACAGGTGAGTAATACTCTGAACCTTGACAGGCCCACTAAAGACCTCATTAGACTCCGCAACACGATTCGTAGGCAGTACCAGCGTACTGGGCTGCCTAACCTGAAGACCAATTGCAACCGTTTGAACAAAATCATCCAAGCCAGGATGGTGGATCTCAGAAATATAGATTTTGCAAACAAGATTCGCTCTCTCCCAGATTGTGCTAAGCCATTCTGGAAAATGGCAAAGATTTTGAAAAATAAGCCGAGGCCCATTCCTCCCCTTTCCTCTCCTAACCAAAATTCGGACCCATCTTTACTAATAACCCCATTGGAAAAGACCAATGCTCTTGGACAACACTTTGTAAATTCACATAACCTTGGCCACGCCATGGTGAGTCCCCACGAGCCTGCAGTATCACAGGCAATGGCTAGTGTCGCTGCCACCCCCGTAGTTGTCCCTGACGAAAGTAGAATATCGGCTGATGAGGTGATAGCAGCGATTAAATCAACAAAGAACATGAAGGCCGCTGGTGTCGATGGAGTGGTTAACCTCGAGCTGAAAAACTTGAGTGTTGACTTCTTCAAGCACCTTGCAGTGGTCTTCAACAAGTGTTTAATGCTTGGCTACTTCCCTGCATGCTGGAAGTTAGCCAAAGTTATTCCAATTCACAAACCTGGCAAAGACCCTACCAGTGCCAAAAGCTATCGCCCCATCAGCCTCTTGTCCTCCATCTCGAAGCTATTCGAAAAATTGATACTCAGGCGTCTGCTGGTGTTTTCAAATGATAATAACATCTTTCTCAAAGAGCGATTCGGGTTTAGGAAAGGCCACTCTACCATCCACCAACTCGCACGGGTTACTAACATCATCAAGCGGAACAAGTCCGTTTCCAATACATCTGCCATGGCATTGTTGGACGTCGAGAAGGCGTTCGACAATGTCTGGCATGATGGTCTAGTGTACAAGCTGCATCGATACATACCGAACTACCTCGTGAAGATCATCAAAAACTACTTGTCGGGCAGATCATTCCAGGTCTACTTGAACAATGTCTCCTCTGATACGTTCAACGTTGATGCAGGGGTCCCTCAAGGTAGCCTGCTTGGGCCTATCCTATTCAACATTTTCACGTCAGACGTTCCTCCCCTGCCGGGTGGTGGTATCCTGTCAATGTTCGCAGATGACACCTCCATCATCTATAAGGGTCGAGTGATCCGTGCTCTGGCGAGTAAACTACAATCAGGCCTGGATGTTTTGTCCGACTATTTTAAGAGCTGGAAGATTTGTATCAATGCAGCTAAAACACAAACCATTATGTTTCCACATTCGTATTCACCTCGGCTTGTTCCGCCTGCTAACTTCAAGATCCATCTTGATAGCACTCCCATTGAATGGTCGAGTGAAGTAGTCTACCTTGGTCTCACCCTCGATAGCAAATTGCTATTCCGATCCCATGTGGACAAGACATCCACCAAGTGTAACATCTTGATCAGGTCACTCTACCCTCTGATAAACAGGAAGTCCACCCTGTCCCTCAAACACAAGCTTGCTGTCCACAAGCAAATCATTCTGCCGGCTATTGAGTATGGTATGCCAATCTGGGAGAGTTGTGCTAAGTACCACCACTTAAAGCTTCAGAGGATCCAAAACAAGATCCTCAGAATGATCCTTAACAGTCCACCGCGAACTCGTAATTCTGAGATTCACCACCTGGCCGGTCTTCAAACACTCGAGGAGCGAAAGACTTCCACGCTGGAAAGGTTCAGAGTCGCCTGTCTGCGATCAAACCACCAGATCATTCGTGATTTGGCAACCTAGTTTAAGTAGTTAGGTGCTCAAGTAGGTAGGTTATCAAATTTTTAAATTCAAACGAAAACAATCCCACAAAGGGTATCCTGTAAATTAGCGCTAAACGCAATCATCACATTAGAATAACCAATTAACTAGAACAAAGATGAAGAGCCAAAGGCTAACCAATTGAAATGTTAAATCAAATGTTGAAACATAAAACCCAGAAAATAAACGTAAATTTTACTACTTTTACTACTGTTTTACCGTCAGTTGTTGGTAATCCATCGAGTGTATGTCTCCTGTTAGGCAATTGTTTTTTGAAAATGTTGGCTCTGCATGTAAAAAATTAATTGTTTTTACATAATTGTGGTTTGCTTAATATTTATTTCCCGGAAAAAAATGATCGTCAAAGTCCATGTCTTTTTCGGGTAATTGTTAAGGGGGAGGGTGTTTTACATGCACGTTTTTTCATGTCTCATTCCTCATTGTGGTGGACACGCCGTGATCCACCTTTAGCCGCTGACTTAGTCCTGCTTGCTGCAGGACCTAGTGCCACGCCGTCCGAAGCGGGAATGAGCAGAGGCAGGAGAGCAGCGTTGATTTAGATCTTTTCATGTTCAAGCAGAATGATGTGCAACCAAGTGGTATTCGTTTATGATGACTGGGTTTGGGAAAAAGGCTTATTTCATGAAAACAGTGATAAAATTTTCATTTGTACATTTTCAATAGTTTAATTACAGAAAAATTGGAAAAATACTTAATTCAGCAGGTTTGTAATGTAATATCCTATCGATTGGCGTATTTGAATTTAAATTTCATCGATAAATGACAAAGTTACAAGCGTTCAAAACCTAACACTCCTTCACCACACATATTTTTTGATTTGCACCCCAGTATAGTCGACAAAGACGTAGTTCTACGTCAAAAATCATCACTTTCAAAAATCTTCCGTACACCATCAGTTGACGATCTTAACCGTTTCTCACATCCCGTATCATCATTTTCGCTGCCTCCAAACTTTTGATGGTCTTGTAGAACTCGTACCACGACATAGTATTCCGGAAGGCATCTCGCCGATATTGTCCATTTAAATTACTGCAACAACAAACCATCCCGTTACTATACTCAAATCAGTTTTCACAACGCCCAAAAGGTCACACTTACGCATCATGGCAGTCCCTAAACCACCAACCGCTTCGGTAGTAGTCCGCACAGCTCGGTACGACCTGGTTGATATCGTTATCACTGTCCGGGGTGGAAAACATCATCCCATTCGACGGAGCTAAGCTATCACCTGCGGAACCACCGAGGAACCCGTCGTACGTGAGCCGATACTTATCGTATTCACTCGATATCGTAAAGTTGGAATATAGCGCCGTTTTTACGAATCCAACGAAATCCTTCAACACCACCAGAAGTTCATAGTTGCCGCTGCGTGTGATCTGATGGATCTTTTCCAGTCCAAGCCAAAATTCTCGTTCAATCGATCCGAATCCATCCCGGTAGTCGGTCCAGTTTCGGTAAAAGCTCAAACTGCCATCGAAACGGCGATGAATCACGATCCATCCTTGGCCGTCAACGCTATAGTCACAGCGCACCTGGAACATTGAAATGGTGGAGAACTCCGGCTTGAGCAGCTGATAGGTATTTTTGCCCTGGCAGGATGATCGAACTTCGATTGACTTCGGGTACTTTGCGGTACAGTTGTTAGCCTGAGCCGCCATGCTTGCCACAACTAAGAGAATCAGAACCACAGACTTCATCGTACACCGAAAAACTGTGCTGCAGATGGATGTGGCTTTCCACATCCACCTACATATATAGTTGATTATTGTTGTTTAAAAAAATCTCAACATTATTGTGCCATTATTGTGTAAACAAAAGCCTCTACAACGGAGATTAAACGCAGAAATATTGCCAGACGAATCAGACTGGTCTGGTTCTATTTAAAGCTGCAGCAGTAGCAAACAAGTGTCCACGAAACGATCACGCTGTTGTTGTCTTCCAAAGATCCGTGATACGTAATGCGTCGAACAATTGCGATTGATGATTATCTATGGTCGGAGTAAAACAGCTTGCTGTTTACTTGCCAATGGATTGAATCTTAGCTCAATTATTTTGCTATTTTCATTCGAGGAACTTGGTGATTTGTAGTGATCAACCAATATAATAAGTAATTGAGATTTAATTAATTAATCAGATCCGATTTTTATTTTCGTCATTGCAAGTTACCTCCGAACGTTCTAAGATTATAGGCAAAAATCACAAGTTGGCAAAACTGTAGAAAAAAAAAATGAAGGGCCACCTTATGTAGCCAAGACGAAACGACTTTTTCACTTCTCCAATTCGGCCCCTGATCTCAACATTCGACTGGGTGAAAAGATGTAAGGTTAAGGGTCTTTAGAAAACATACTAATTTTATCGTTTTGAACAACTTACAAGAATATAACCCAAGCAGGAAAAAAATACTAATGAGTAAAGGGTGTTCACGATGAAATTGCCACACACAAAATTGATTCACAAAATTCGAGTTTTCATCCGATTGCCATCAAATTTTCAGGGATTGAGAAATAACTATTAAACTTCATTTTACCATTTTACTCGTATTTTATTTACAGTCCATACGCAAATGCCCGCACCTTGGCCTTAACCCCGGCCATAAGATTCTGCACAACCTGTGAATCAACCGTTTTTTGCATGTAAACCCATACTTTCTTCAGTTCCTCGACTGTCTTCACTACTTTAGGTCGTTTAAGAAGGTGCTGCTTCATAATCGCCCAGTACTTCTCGATGGGGCGGAGCTCCGGAGTGTTGGGAGGGTTGAACATTTTCGGCACGAAATTGACCTTATTGTCCGCATACCACTTCAACACGTCCTTGGAGTAGTGGCATGAGGCCAAATCCGGCCAGAAGATTGTTGGGACGTTGTGGGCCTTCAGGAGAGGAAGCAGCCGAAAGGTGCACTCCGCTTCCCGCACGTGCAGATGGCTTGCCAAACCAGGAATTTCTTCGCTAATTTGGACATCTTCTGAGTGCGGACATGCTCCGGAACGCTGAACTTATCCTTGGCCGTGAAAAACAGGTTGCCGGGGATCTTTTTGAAGTCGGCCTTCACATATGTTTCGTCGTCCATGATGCAGCATTCAACTTTCGTCAGCATGTTGAGGTACAACTTCCTGGCACGGGTTTTGGCGGACTTGTTCTGCTTCTCGTCGCGATTAGGGGCCTTTTGTACCTTGAACGTTCGAAGCCCAGCCTTAGTTTTGGCCTTCTGGACAAAACTTCGGCTTAAGTGCAGCTTCTTAGCCACATCCCTAACAGAGGCGTTCGGATTTCGGTTGAAGGCCCCAACTACGCGGTTGTGATTTTTGGTTTTGTACGGAATACTTTTTCCTTCACTTCTGGGCTTCCGATCGGTGGTCAACCGTTCCTCGAACCGCTTAATCACTCGCGACACCGTGGAATTCGCGATTCCCAACGTTTTAGCGATGGAACGATGCAAGAGATCCTTGTTCTCGTGATGAATGCGCAAGATTTTATCACGCAGGAGCTGTTCTTTCGACTCCATTTCCACGAGTTTTGATCACAGGACTTTAAAACTTGCAGGATGTAAATAATGCACTATGAACTAAATCCACCCAAATTTTCATTAAATTCTACCCAACGGTTAAAAAGTTAGAGCAATTTCATAGTGTGGCAATTTCATTGTGGACACCCTTTACCTAATTCTAATCTGATACTAAAATTTTGTGTTGATGATGATGATGATGGTCCCACCTCTTACCCCTACAAAGGTTTGAGCTGGACGAGTTATCTTTAAGATAATTAAATATAAACATTTTAACCAGGTTTGCAAACAAAATCGAGCTGGTTACAATTACAGATATAGATGTCCTGTTAAATATGCTATAGGCATCAACCAAAAACATTCAAAGGTGTAGCTAGTTATCAAAAGTCCAAGTATAGTCCTCGACAATACTTCCATTTACACGTGACCTGGGATTTACACGTTTAAGCTTCCGCAGTGCCAGGACTATATCCAAGGAAACGACTTCCAGCCAATCCTTTACTAATTTAAGGCTTTTGCCACAATTTCCACGTATTAGTCATTTATACCTGTATTCCGCGCGCGAGGCTCAAACCATTGTTGACTACTCAAAGCTATTTTTACTATTACTACTACAAAATCAAAAAAACTAAAAATCCATCATCACCATCGAGGCAAACAATGTAGTTTTTTGTATATGCTACACAAATTAATAAAATGTCTTGATGACAGTCTCCATACAAACTAATCCGTTAGTGATAACTTTGTCAAGATACATGATTTATCCATTCATAAAAAATTAACTGCTCAATAAACAGCTTTTACATGTGAAATCCAGCGTCTCTTGAATTCTGTAAGTGTAGTTGCACGCTTGATGTGTCTAGGCATCGAATTGAAAACATTTATACCTTTGAAAAATAATGAATTTTGTGAAGCATTATTCAAAAGATGTGGTGTTCTTACTTCATCCACGTTTCTAGTGTTATATCTATGAAAATCACTTCCTCTTTCAATCCGATCACACAAATATCGAGGCAGCAAACCGTTAACTACTTTAAAAATTCTTTGCTTCACTGACAGCCATTGCAAAGCGTCCAGCATAAAAGTGGAGGAAGTGAATCTATTACATCTTAAAATCAAACGCATTACTTTATTCTGCAAACGCTGTAATCTCGATATTTGTGTTTCATTGGCCAAAAATAAAATGGAAGGGCAAAAGTCTAGATGAGGGGAGATGATTGATTTGTATAACTGTATTTTACTACCAATAGTTAAATCGTTTTTCAAGCGACATAGGATTCCATACTTCTTGGCAATTTTCTTGATGACATTGTCAATATGAGAATTGAACTTGAGTTTGTCATCAATAATCACGCCAAGATATTTAATTTCCTGAACGCGATCAAGTGTCTCATCATCAATAACAACAGAGACATCATCATCTACACGATTCCGCGAAATTACCATGAATTTAGTTTTACTTATATTCAATTTCAATTGTTTATACTTCAACCATCTACTTAGAGAACGCAAATCTTCATTCAAGCGTGAAACGGCTTCTTCTAAATCTTTAGCTGCAATGAATAACACAGTATCGTCAGCAAAAAGATTAATATCACAAAACCGTAAAACTCGTCGCATGTCATTAATATACATAATAAATAAAAGGGGCCCTAATACACTTCCCTGAGGCACTCCAAGGTTATTGTCAACGGGAAAAGATACAAAATCATTAAAACAGTCCTTTGTGTTCTGTCAGATAAATAGCTTTCAAACCATTTGTATGCAGAACCCGAAATTCCAAAGCGCTTGATTGTTCTCAATAATAAGGGCCTAGAAATTGTCTCAAAAGCGCGTTTTAGATCCAAAAACACAGCAACAATCGTATCTTTATGCTCCAAATTTTCTTTCCATTTAGCTAACACTAAGTTTAACGCGGTTTCACAAGAATGGCCTTCCCGGTATCCCGATTGTTCCGGTATCAACAAACAGTTACTATTTAAATATTCTAACAGCCAAATACCAAAGGATAATAACAAAAAAATGCATGCAAAATACTTTGCAAATAAACAAAAAATTACATTTGGATACCAAAAGAATACCTATGTGGTACTGGTTTGGTATTGCATTATCATAATTTGGTATTGGAATGGTATGTTGTGAATATTTTTTTTTTTTTTGTATTTTACCTCTTATGTCAGGGTTATTCATACAAATTAAAAATATTGAGATATTCGTTCCTAATAGGCATCGGTTTTCAAACTGACACCCAATTATAAATTACGTTTGCTAACTTTTTAATCCGGCATCGCTGGACTATCGAGAGTCGGATAAAATATATGCCGTATTAAAAAAAAAACTCGTATTTATCCACCTATGGTGTGATCAGACCCTTCTTACTTATTCAAGTTTATTTATTTTATTGTCATTATCAGTGACTAAGGCCTCCACCCCCGTGTCATCCAGTGACGCTACGCCACTGCCTGGGGGTACCCGGAATATATCCGGGTGTAGTCTATTTGGTGAGGCTACCAATCACCTTATCATCGTATTTTAATGTGATTTAATGGGTTTTAATTCAATTCATATTCAAGCAACTTCCCCGGGGTACCCGGAACATGTCCAAGTGTGTCCAATGTGGTCTGGAACACTTAACACGACTTGCATTGATCTTATTTTTGAATTCTGTAGTAATTTGATGTGTCGTATGATGGTTTTGATACGTTTTCCGTTAAATCCAGCGTGAAGGCCCATATTCACCGGATCTTATTCCGGCCATATCTCCGGAACCGGTTCACCGATTCCAAAACCGTTCAATAGCGTTCAATGGGACCCCAAGACCTATCATTTGGCGCCAAGTTTGTCCAAATCGGTTGAGCGGTTGCTGAGAAACGTGAGCGCATTCATTTCGTTACATACACACACACATATACACACATACACACATACACACACACAGACATGTTCCGATCTCGTCGAGCTGAGTCGAATGGTATATGACACTCGGCCCTCCGGGCCTCGGATCGATAGTCGGTTTTTCAAGTGATATCTATACCCTTCTTTGTAAGAAGGGTAAAACGTCGAGTTGGTTGGAAATGCTAACATGAAGCTTTAGTGTCATAATTTATTAGCTAGAGAATGATCTTTAGCAGAGGGTAGGTGGATGGTTCCGTTAGA